TGTAGTCAGATCCTCGTCGCAAATTCTGTCGAGCACAATGCACAGGCTCGTCAAATGCGATGCCCGAATGCGGAAGTCGGAAACTTTTCGGGTCCTCAGTGCAAGTGTTAGATGACGAAGGTTGTCGTAGCTCAAAGGAGTGAGGCTTTCAGGGATGTCGCCAGTGTGTTTGAAATTGTGTTGGTGTTCACTGGACAGGAGGTACATAGATTCGAGTCTTTCTGCCAAGTGTGTATCTCTGAGGACGGTTTGAATGATCTGTATAGCTCATCAACACATGTAAAGGACCCCCAAGCAGGTGACGGAGGTAAAATGCAGGCAAGTATTCAAAAATTACCATTGGACGGTTGAGGAGTCGGACTTACGTGCATAGGGTCAACAGCCTCGCTGTAAACCGTGCCGACCCACGCCTTCTCACCTGCATCATTAAATGTAAGGCTGAGGCTTGCGATGACACAAACCAGATGGCGGATCTTGGGGGCCAGGCGAATAATTGCGACCAGTGTTTCCGAGCGGGTATCTCGAAGCCATGCGCAATGCGCATGGAATTCGTCTCTTCGAGAATCGGCGATAACACTCAAGTGATGCGTGTAGCCTTCTTCCGTGAAGAGATGGTAAGGTGAAAGAGTTAGATATGTGAGCCTAGTCGAGATTTCAGGTAACTCGAGAAGGGCAGCTAGGTTCCGTAGTGTCCCTTCTTGGCACTTTGTTGGGAGATCTTCCAAGATCCAAACGAAGGTCTGCCATGCCGCCGTACGTAGACGTCGACAGGTCAACCGAATGTTGTAGATGTCGGGTCTCTCTTGTTCGCTCCAGTAGTCAGGCTCGAGACAAGCGAGATTTTTATGACGCTGGCGAGGTACGAGATATGCGAAGATTTGCTCGTGGATTTCCAACGGCAGGGTTTCGAGGCTCGGCATGGCGAGGGAGGGCTACTTCGGTGTTGGCTGCCGGGTTGAGCCGTGTAGACTACACAGAACTTTGTGAGTGACAAGCAAGATGGTGGCTCGATGTGAGGGGAGTGTCAGGATCAGCTCCAAGCTGTGGATGTTGTAGTGCCCTAGGTATGGCGTGCAGATGCAATGCCGATGTGCGGCACAGCCCTGCTGGCAGAGTCATCATGCCAAGAGGTGGCATGTAGCTTCGCGACTGAACTCGATCGGATCTCGCAAGAAGCGCTTTCTCGGATGCTCTAGCATTGACGCGAGCTCTAGGTGGACAACGTCGAGTGGAAGCGCTGGAGGTCATGGTGAGGTGGTGGTCACGTGGCGGATGATGAAACAGGGTTAGACATACGGGGAGGCAGCTGCGCATCAGCTCGGATCAGCAAACATCACGTCGGCCATCCTCACGCGTCGAGACATCTCCAATAGGACGCCCAGCCTCGCTCGAGTCGCCCCTCCCTCGCGCCCCCTCGCGCACTGCCAGAAGCACCTCGGGCATCGCGCGCATCTTTGCGCCTGCCCTCTCTCCGCCGTCTGCACGCCGCGCCGCTGCCGGTCGTGGTTCCCCAGGCCGAAAGCCCGTCCCACCGCCGCCCCACCGCGAGTCGACGAACTGCAGCGCCGTCACCACCATCATGTCCGGCCCAGTCGCAGTTGCCCGCCCAGCGCAACCTCCTCGCCTGCGCCGCGAGTCTCAGCGCCCGGGAGTTGCGCGCACTGCCACGCGCCAGTCCAACATGGAGGACGAGGGCGCGAAGCACGACGAGGCCAGGAAATATGGTATATTCACACTTCGCTACCGCTTTCGGCACACGCGCTAACATATCTCGCAGTCTACACGCAGCAAGACATCCTGGCCAAGCACAAGGGCAAGCCGCCGTCGCTCCGTGTATACCTGCACCCCAAGCACTTCCGCCTGAACGATTCCCAGGAGACGCTGTCCTACCAGTCGCCTATGCGCGAGCTGCTGCAGGCCATCCGCAACAAGGAGGTGCCGCACAACATGGTCGAGGAGCTCTACGAGTTCAACACGCCTTGGTACGACGACTGCCTCATCGTTGAGCTTCACGACTACCGCTCGGCCGGCGTCAAGCCCAAGGATGACACCAACAGCACTGGCGAGGCCGGCACGAGCGCCTTCTCTATTCATAATTACAACAACTTTATCACACCCTCTCCATTCGCACCCTTTCCAGCCAAACAGGCCGATGCGAAGGCCGCCCAGGCCAACGCGCAGAGCAAAGACGGAGAAACCAAAGAAGACAAGGAGAACATGCCCGCTCCTGGTCAGAACGGGGCTCTGACCAAGCAGCCAGGCATCGCTAAAGTCGGCACAGTGGTACTGTTTCCAACGCAGCAGTCGCGATTGGCCGACATGCAGCTACTGGCCACCACGCCGGTACCAGACATGGCTACCCTCAAAAGAATGCAAGCCCAGGGCAGAGCTGGAGGCATGCCGCCGACTCCCATGACGGCAGTACCCTCCACGCCCACCTTTGCGAACGGCCCAAGCCCGAAACGCCAAAAAATGGTCCTCGATGATAGCAACGTACACGAGTTCGAGGCCGAGTTACTGAGGGCCACCTGCCCACCCCTCTATTTGGAGCCCACCAAGAGCTTCGGTGAATCGCTCGCACTTATGGATGCCATCACACATCCGAACAACAAGAACCCCGCCCCTCCACGCAAGACTCGCAAGAGGACCACCGCCGAGCTGGCTGCAGACGAGGCAGAGGCTCAGGGTCTACAGCGCTATATGTTGGCGGGCGACGAGTACCAGAGCAATATGACGGCCACAGCCGCCGGCAACGACGACAACGCTGTGCGCGCCGCTGCCAACTCCCAGACATTTGCCCGCTTCAAGACCATTGCTAACATCCGTGCAAACCATGAGGAAGCCGACCGGAGGAAGAAAGAGGAAGACGCTCGAATCGCTCAAGCTAAACGCCAAGCGCAGATGGAGGCTGAGATCCAGCGGAAGAGAGAGATCGAGAGCAGACAGCAGGCCGAACTCGCGGAGCGTCAACAGCAACAGGCTCTTCGCCAGCAAGCACATCAAGCACATCAAGCACAACTGCAGCAGAACCAGCAGCAGAATGAAGCCTTGCGAGCCGCAGCCGCAGCACAGCACCAGATGTCGAACGCGGCAGCCATACAGGCTACTCAGACACCCCAGTCGGCTACGCAATCTCAATTCTCGCCCACCATACGCCAGCAAACGCCGATGGCCGCCGCTGCAGCCTCGCCATCACTTGGTGGGCAGGCTGCGCATCAACTTGGTGGCACCCCGATGGTACCTACCGCTTCGAACCAGGCCATCAACAGTCCTGCTCGCCCACCATCTGCCGTCTCTAATCACCAGAACATGATGCGCTCCGTCAGTCAGCAGCAGAACTTGAGTCGCACAGGCACACCGCACATCGTACAGGGAACGCCTGTAATGAATGCCTCCATGCCGAATCGCAACATGACGCCGACCCCGAGTCGCATGGGCCAGGGCAGCCCATCTATGGCCATGCAAGGGCAAACGCCAATGATGATGCAGACACCTCAGCCAGGTCACAACATGACGCCTGAACAGGCTCAGCAGATGCAACAACAGCGTCTGCAGCAGCAACTTCGCATGCAGCAAATGCAGCAAACAGGATCGCCAGGTAACCAGCAGCAACAATTCCAACAGCTGGCATTCCAAAAGGCTACGCAGCAAATCCAGACTCAGGGAGTTCCGCAAGGCCAGAATCCGCAGGCATACCGCAACCAGCTCGCGCAGCACTATTTCCGCCAATTGACCCAAAATCAGCAGCAAAGTCAACAGCAAATGGCTATGCAGAATATGTCACCTGGAGCAGGCATGCAGCAGAATGGCATGCCCAATAATCAAGGGACCATGACTTTTGCTAACCTGAATCTCCAGCAGATGCGCGCGCGCTATCAGCAGCACAAGCAAACGGTCATGCAGAACTACGGCCAGAATATTCCTCCCCAGGTCATGCAACAAATCCACCAGATGGAAATGCAAATCAAGCAGCGAGAGCAGCGTGAACAACAGATGCAGATGGCACATATGCAGAACAACATGGGCGGCCAGATGAACGGCGGCCAAATGAACGGCATGCAGAACGGCAACACCCCCAACCCCATGCAAATGCAACAGTACCAGCAGATGCTCCAACAACAACGCGCAAACGCCGCAAACAATTCTCGACTCCTACAAATGCGACAACAAGCCATGGCGAGCGGTGGCCAGCTGCCTCAGGGCATGATGGGCAACATGAATACCATGAACAGCATGCAAGGTGGCGGCATGCAGGGCATGAACATGGGTAACATGGGCAACATGGGTCAGGGTATGAACATGGCGCAAATGAACCAGATGAATGGAGGCATGGGCGGCATGCAGGGCGGACAGATGAACGGCGGTATGCAGGGTATGCAAGGAATGCAGCCCATGAACCAACAGCAGATGACCCAGATGATGATGATGCGTCAAGCACAGCAACAAGCCCAACAGTTGGGACGGCAGGGTGGACAGCAAGGTGGGGATATGGGATGGACCGGGTAGTCCCCTTACCCATCTCCTCCCTCTTCTCTTTGAGCTTGTCATTATTATTCTGTCTCCATTCCGTCTTCGGCTGCATGCATCATCACGGACATTTGGGTCGACAAGCTGTGGGACAAAAAGGTGTTTTGGGCGCGGGAAAAGTGTTGGTGTTTATTCTTCAAAAGATACCCCCGGTGTTGGGATGGTTACTTATACTGTTACTTTACGATAATCACGGAAACGGCATGTTTGGGGTGCATTCGGGACAACGGATTGGCATAATTGGCTGGGTCTTGACTTGTCGTTATTATTCATCTGTAAGACTTGTATCAGACATTCCATATATTATTATGACCTTGGTGGCCTCTGTCTGACGTGCTTCTTACAGACAAACTTGGTACGCGTATGCTGTACACTCTCTGTCGTATCTTGCATCTTACATCTTTACTTCTCACTGACAACTTCAGCATACTCATACTGTACACCCTTGGTTATCACCTGCGTCTTACGTCCATTTAGTTCTTCCCCTTGCCTTTACCCTTTGCCTTCCCCTTCTTCCCACCAACCTTGGCGGCTTTCTTCTCCTCCACCTTCCGCTTTCCGATGACCTCCCCACTCGCCGTCTCGTACCCATGCGCGAACTTATACTTGCAGTCTCCGCAGGCCGCCGCACCTCCTAGGGGACACGCAAAAAAGTACAGCTTCACATCCTTGATGCAGAAGTCACACGTGGCCGTACCGTCAATCCTATGCCAGCCCAACTCCACATACTCGGATTTGGCATCAGGTCCCGCACCAGCAGCAGTCTTTGCGTCTGTATGGAGTTGTCGCGCCCAGATGTGCGCCAGGCGGACGCGGCGCTGTATGCGTTGACTCTCTGCGTCGGCGGTCTCGGTAAAGAATTGTTGCATGTATGTTCGAACCATCAATTCTTCCACCTGGCGTGCCTTCTGCTCTGCGAGCTTCTGCTGTGCCTCCAGTGCAGCGAGGTACTCTTGGGCTTTTCGCTCTTGTTCAAGGCGATGTTGTTCTCTAACTTTTGCTTCGCGCTCTTCGGCCTCCTTTTGGCGCACTTCTCGGCGCAGCTTTCGCATAGTCTCTTGCTCTTCTTTCCACTTCCGCAGTCGCTCTTCCGCAACTATAGCTCGCGCTTTCTCGGCACGCTCTGCTGCTTGTCGCGATCGCTCTTCCGCAAGCTTTTCCTTCTTCTCTCGAGCAGTTCGCTCAGCATCTGCACGAGCTTCATCTTCTGCTTTGCGTTTTCTCTCTTCTGCCTGCTGCTGTTTCTCCATCTGTATACGAGCTCGTTGTACTTCAGCTTTGATGCGCTCGAGTTCGACTCGGATTTCGTAGTTCGCATAAGCCTCATAATAGACATTCCAGTTTTCCTGGATGTCTGGGTATCGTGTGTCGTATTCGCTTCGTGCTTCTAGATCTGCCAATATCTCGACTGCCTCGCGCACCTATAGATTGTTAGTGACTTCTCGTTGAGCTTCACCGGTCGGTAAGCTTACCTGTCTAAACTCGACAGCATCTATGGTTTTGCCTGGTGCCTTCTTATCCGGATGATATAGTAGCGCTAATCGTTTGAAGGCCTTCTTGATTTCTGCTGTTGTCGCGTACTCGTCCAAACCTAAGTCGAAGTAGTGATCGCGCTCTTCAGGCTCTACTGGCTTGGAGTTCAGCATCTTCGCAAATTTGCTCTCACTTCTTGCGATGCTTTTTGTCGCGTCAGGCGTCGGTTTTGTGCGCGTTTGTCGAGAAATTACAACTGCTGTACAATGAATGCGACGCTATGAGATGAGAAAGAAACGACAGAGCGGGTAAAGGGTGCGAAGAATCTTCGACCGCGTGGTGAGGCGTGGTGAGTGGTGAAGTCTCAAGACGCAGCGTAGTCGTTTATAGAAGGAAGGGACGACCGGGCAGGAGCGACCGGGCGTGCCGCGCGGCGAAGTGAGAGCAGAAGGTGGGAGGCAAAATCCTCATAGATTTGAGCAGCTCTTTTTCCGATTATCGCGCTGCCAACTATTTCCGATACCACATCCTCGTCGTCTTCGTATGTCTAATCTTTTTCTGCAACTGAAAAACGCCATACAACAACGCCTCAGCCGTCGGAGGACACCCCGGAACATAAATATCCACAGGAATAATCCTATCAACACCCCTCACCACACTGTAACTATAATGATAGTACCCGCCGCCATTCGCACAACTCCCCATGCTGATCACCCACCTTGGCTCAGGCATCTGATCATAGCACTGCCGTACAGCGGGAGCCATCTTATTGGTGACCGTGCCTGCAACGATCATCACATCCGCCTGGCGAGGAGATGCGCGAAAAATTATGCCTAGTCGGTCTTGGTCGTAGCGCGGCGTGGAGCAATGCATCATTTCGATGGCGCAGCAGGCGAGGCCGAAGGTCAGTGGGTGGATGGAGCTTTGTCGAACCCAGTTGAGTATTTGATCCGTGGTCGTTCTGGAGTCTTTCAGTAAGTGTTTGAGTATGTCTGGGAGAGTGGCTTACAGGACGTGTTCCACTACACCCCTGGGTTTGGCGACGGCTGATGGGAGGAGTGTCTCGCTGCGCTTTTCATTTCGCTCTACGGTCTCGTGGCGGTGGGAGCTGGTAGACATGCTATTAAATGATGCATGGCTGAGTCGAGGACTTCTGAGGTGAGGTCTTGGTGTAGATGCTGGGCACTGTCAGTTTGATTGATTCAAGATGGAAAGAGTGGCATGATACCGAATGTGTAGTAGCTTCTCTGACTTAGAAACCTTCGCAGCTTTGACATGGCGACATAAAGTATTTGAAAGAAGCAGACTCATTCTTGCAACAGGAGTGCTGATACACGATGGTATGGGGAGAGCATCGATGCTGTGTCACGTGGTCGGCCCTTTGCGGTAAGGTGGCCGCAGTTAAAGCCCACATGGGCGGAAAGCCCACATCCTGAAAACCCACATTCAACCTTGGAAAGCCCACATCATGGGCGGCCGCGTCAATAACGAAGAGCCAGTCAATGCCAGACGCTATCGATACGGACGCAGGTAGCACATCCTATAGATGTAGCACGTGCAACAAGTTCTTTTCGAGTAACAGCCACCTGCGACGGCATGAATCGGCTCGTGAGTTCACCATGCGAACATGCCGCTTAAAGCTTACTTAACGCTAAAAAGATACTCGCAATCGTCTAAACACCTGCAGCTTCTGTAATCGCACGTTCGTCCGCCAGTAGGTTTTCGCCTGTGTTGGGTAAGCTCGTGAGACATTGACGTTGACCTTGCTTAGCGACGTCCTCAGAAGACACTCAAAGTCATGCCAACAGCGAGGCGAGCACGATGAGATAGCCTCTGCCAAACCAGGACGACGAAGCCGGCTCAGAACGACCGAAAACCATGCACAGCTGTTACACGAATATGCGCACACTACCGGTGCCAGTCATTTGAGCCGCGATACCACGGCTGGAGTGGAAAACGCCCAGAGTCTTCCTCCCTGTCCCATCACATTTTTATACCAATATACAGATCCCCGGCGCGAGTCGATACTCAGTGCGTTCATTGGCGATCCATTAACTGTGCGGTCGTCCAAAAGTCACGAAAACCACGATGCAGACCATCAGCTTTTCGACAGGGATGTGGCACTCTTCGGCATCTTCTCAGACTTCTTCATCTACAGCGATGCAGATACCTGTGCTCCAATACCACCGGCACCCGAAAGACCTCCAACGACCGCGCTTCTGCAACCTAGGATCGACGAGCTGTGTTCTCAGCTCTTCATATATAGCCAGACGTGTCGAACAACTCACTTCAACCACCCCGAAGGCGCTTTCCCCGTGGTTGCCGCAAAAGCAGTCTTCACAGCAGAAAATTTCGAAGATTGTATCTGGGCTTACTTCATCGTCTTTCACCCTCAGCAGCCACTCATTCACTGGCCGACATTCGATATGCACAAGGTCTCGCTACCCTTGCTACTTGCTGTCGCCTTTGGTGGATCTGTACATTGTACGCCCACAGACGGCGCCTTGTCATCTCGCTCCTTCTTCCATCTAGCAGAAGATTTCATCTTCGAGCATCTACGCGATGTAGTCGCGAAACCCAATTTCGGACACGACCCTCGCGCTCTGGAAGCAGTCCAAGCCGCATCACTCATAGTGGCTCTGCAGAGTACTTTCAACAATGAAGCCACGCGCAGCCGAGTCGAAATATCTAGACATCCAGAAATCGTCGCTGCAATGAGATCGCTCAAGTTGCTGGAACCCACAGTCACTGTGAGGTCTCAAAGCCACGTACCGGAGTGGCATGCGTTTATAGCCGAAGAGTCTAGAGTGAGAGCTGTACACTTCATCTTTGCTATGGATTGCATGGCCACCTTCTTCTTCAACTCGGTTCCCAAGATTGCTATTGCAGAGGTCTCTCAGACGCTTCCGTGCAATGATGTGCTTTACGATGCGGCTACGGCTGAAGATCATGCTCGTTTACGCACACAGTCGAAACGCCTGGCGAGACCGAAACCTAGTATTAAGCAACTGGTTTCTGCGTTGATGAGCGAGGACTGGTCTGATGAGCAGAAGAATCCGCTTATCGATGTCCTTGAACATCGGCTGCTCATGATTTGCATATTCGGTAGGTTTAACCATCTGCATCGTAAGCATTCGTGGTCTCAAGCTAAAACACATTGCAGCATTGCATTCCATCGTATTCGTATCGCGAGCCACTCTTTTGAGCCCGATGGTACACGCTAATCTAACCCGTGCCACAAAACGCTGGAAAGAGCTGTGGGATGCTCTACACGCGAAACGTGAAGCAGAGGAGCAAAGGCTACTAGGCTTTGTCAAGCATGGACTGGAAATATGGTGGGTGACATGTAAATATCTTGAACTGGCACATACCGGCGATGTGCAGAGTCGCTATATGGCGCTCGCTCCGACGGACTCGTTGGTCCATCTACATGACTTCTTGAAACGGTATGCGAATTGTGTGGAGAGGTAATGTGGGTAGATCAAGACAAGACTATAACGAGAAACGCGCACTGCGTTATGATCACTTGCTAAGCAGACAGCAATCACTTTATCCCCCACGCATCTACTTGAAGCGAGACATCAATGTGAAGTCGATAATGTTGGACACGTATCATAGGTTTATAGGTGAGAAGTACACTACAGTACCTTTCCCATCAACTCTCATCCTCCCATTCCCCTACTGAACCCCCCCCCCTAAACAAAAACCAGGCAACCATCCCGATTACTAATCCTCTCATCAAGATTAATCTCCCTCATCCTCCAGTGCCCCTGATACTCCAACTCGCCCTCCAACCTCTGCCCCCCATCGGCCAACCGCATCCCCCTCGCCGAACTCCCAAACCCACCACCCCCACGACTACTATTCCCACCCGGGACCTTAAGATTCTGGCCCGGCCAGATCTGGTCGGGATTAGTGATATTATTGTGGCGAGCAAGATCTTCGTAGGAGCAGTGCGAGAAGCGGGATGCAATGGCACGGAGGGTGTCGCCTTGTTGGACAGTGTACGTGTTCTCGTCGCCGCCGCCACTGGAGTTGGAGCCCGACCAGCGGAAACTGCCGCCGTCGTTTTCGAGGATGCGGTTTAGGGATATGGAGGAGGATTGGTAGGAGCCGTCTGCACGGCGGCATTGGGCGTGCAGCGTGTAGTCGCCATGAGCATCGAGACGAATGTCGCGCGAGGAGGCGCTGAAGTTGCCGCCGAAGTCGCCTTGGGAGCGCTGGTTGTTGGTGTCTTGGTGGTGTTGGATGGGAGGGGGGCCTTGGTGTTGCTGGCCGTACTTCTTGCGCTTTTCTTCCTCTTCTTCTTGCTTCTTCTTCTCTTTGCGCTCGTCCCACTTCTCTTCTACGGCGTCTTGGCCTTTGTGTCCCGCGAAGGCTCCTGCGAGGGCGCCGATTACAGTGCCGGCTACGCCGTGGCCGGCTTTACCACCGAGGGCGTGGCCGCCGTAGCCTCCGGCTGCTGCACCGGCGAGACCGCCCATGACACCACGGTCACCCTCTGGGTCGCCCTCGCCGCCGTATTGGTTCTGATGACCTTGGTTCATCGAGTTGCGACCGGAGTTGGATGAATGGGCTGCGGCAGAAGGGAGTTGTTGGTATTGAGGAGGCGCTGCGTCGTAACCTCCTTGTTGGCCGTAGGACTGAGAGCCCCCTTGACCACCGTAGTATGCGCTGGCAGCACCATGGGGCTGTTGTTGGTGGTGAGGAGGCTGCTGGTGTCCACCGCCGCCATTGTAATTGTCCTGTCCATAGCCGCCCTGTTGTTGGTACCCGCCTTGCTGTCCGTATCCGCCTTGGTTGTAGCCGGAGCCGTCGTAACCAGACATGATGTTGTGTACGAAGTGATAAACTTAGATTCTGATAACTAGGTTAAACTAGGTAAGGTTGAGTGTATCGCGATTTGACTTGAAGATCGAAATTCAGCGGGAGCGGGAGGGTTATTTAAAGTTGAAGGTAAGGTTCTCGACAACGTCACACTGTTTGGACAAGCACGATCCCCGCCGAAGTAGCACCTTCTTATTTATACACACCCATGACACAACACGGTGCAAGTCGTGACTGCAGTGAATCAGCCACAGTGTCGTCACCGCCACTTTTCGGCGCCAATGTGGGGATGCACTGTGTATTGAGTTGGCCGAGGGTCCACTTCACGTGGTGTCGGCCAATCATTGGCGTGCACGGATAGGTCGGCGGTGTACCCCTGGGCCAGCTAAGCCACATATCGAGAACGTAGGACCGCGATTACGTGGACGTCCGAACAAAGGAAGTGGGGGGAGTGACGACTTGAGTGGGCTTAGAGGTGATGAGAGAAGGTCTGGATCAGTACCCTGATCAACACCTGAGGCTTAGAGATCTACCCTTGTTCCCGATCAGTAAACACCAAGGAGATCAGTAGTTGCAGTGTGTGAGCGGATGAAGAGAATAAGGAGAAAGGACGAACTTTTGGTAGATGATATGCTACTGTTATACACAAAGCTACGCTGAATATCTACAAAGACCCAGACACGCTAACAAATGCATCGCTCATAAAACGCCGATCAGAGATTCAAGGAGAGACATGACAAGTATGAGACGGTGACATATTGGACAAGAAGTAAAGCATTAAGTAGGAGGTATTTACAAAGAAGTGAACAATGCGGATAATAAGAAAGGTAATGTTTTGGTATAGTTATGTGAGGTCTCGACTGGGTAGTAGACGAGAGAGATGATGTACAATGAACCCGGGTGTGGTTTGCCCAAGGTGGTCGAGCATAAGCGTCGTGCACGATGCGGTGCGATAGTAGGCGATGAACAAGGAATTTGTTAAGCGTAACGTTGCCAACAGTATCGTACATTGACCGAGGCCTCTTAGTATGTGAAGGCCTCCTCAATGAAATCAACGCTACCTTGCGTAAGAAACGGTCGAACCGCATGTCTTACGCCATCCGCCATACCGCCCGACGCGCACACTGTGACAGCCATAGCACCGACACGGTTCTTGACCTCTTCTTCGATCAAGGCTGCGTGTTGCGGACGACCACTGTACATCTTGACTGTCTCACTGCTGCTCTCAACGCGACCCTTGGGTCTTGAGATGAAGAGCTTGATGCGGAGACATTGCTTGCGACCCTTCATGCGGAGGACCTCGTCCATCCAGGGCCGTACCCACTCCAGGCAGTCGGATGTGGGGACTGTCCAGATCAGGACTATTCTTTGTGTTGCGGTGGTTCCGTTGTTGTAGCCGTTGACGAGGTGCTTCAGGTACATGACTTGGTGAGTGATGCCTACACCGCCAGCAAATAGTACTGCGGTTCCGTAGGAATCGAGGCTGTGGTGGCCGCCATATGGACCCTCGATGAAGCCGAAGGTGGTGAACTGCTCGTTGGGGCTCTTGCAGGCCTTCTCGTACATGTGACGGGTAAGTCCAGTACGCGCACGGCAGACCAAGCTGATTTGCTTTGACTTTTGGGGACGGCCGTGCATCGCAAGGACATCGCCTTCGAGCATGGGCAGTGTCATCTCCTTGGAATCTGGGGTGAGTGTTGCAGCCCACGCGACAGAGAAGGGATGCGACGACCAAAGGGAAAGGGCTGGCATCCACATGTGCACGTGGCATCCTGGGCGAGGAGTCCACTCGCGGACCATGTTGATGGTCAGGCGAACAGCCTCTCCGGGCATGGCCTCGACAGTGATTGACGATCTTTGCCTGAGGCCGATGCCGTAGTAGAGGATTGAAGCCCATCGGCAGGCCCACTCGGCAGCCCAGAAGAAGAAGACCAGGTGCATCCAGGGGACTTGCGGGAGACTGTGCAGCTCCAGATGCTTGTAGAGACCGAGAAGCGCAGCGATGACGCAGACACGGTGAATGTTGAGGAAGGTCTCGTAGAAAGCGTGGCGGAATGGCGACCATGCCTGGATACCAAGGAAGGTAAAGGCAACGGTTCCGACCATACCCCAGCCGTACGAGCCCTCAGTGTGGAGAGCAGCTGTAACGGCAGGCCATCCTGCTGCGAGCTTGGTGTTGTACAACCAGGCAGCAGTGTGAACGATGGCTTCCGCAATGGTGATTCGCGCAGCCCAGCGATGGAACAGGTTGAAGTCATCGTACGAGACTTGGAGGAGGGTGATGAGTGGGTTGTTGCGGAGGGCGAAGAGAACGGTGGGGATGAGGTTGAGGGCGGCGAGTGTTCCTGAGCGACCACGGAGCGCGGCGAGGGTCTCCTTGTGGTCAAGCACCTTGTAGGGGAGAGCCACACACCAGGCGACGTTCAGGGCTACGTAGATGACCAACATGATGGTGTGCCATCTGCCAGGCAGCGTTCCGTTGTCGATGGCGCTGCTGATCTGAAACTGAGCGTTGTGCTTCTTCTTCCATAGGGGTGCCATCAGGACATGGCGGTTGAGCCACGGCCACCAGCCTGTCCGGTTGACTTCCCAGTACTTTTGCTTTGGGTTTCCCATGGCGCTCAGATGACGGCTGTGTTTCCACCACATGTTTGATATCCGCAGGAGAAGGAGGATGCCGGAGATGCCTATTAGCAGGTACAGGAAGGTGTCGACCCACATGTAGTTGCCGACTTGGTCGACACCCTCCAGACCGTACGAGTATTTGAGATCATCGAACTCAGCGGCGTCCCAGTCTGAGAGAAAGTGGCGCTTGGTCATTGGCGCGGTCGGTTGGGCGCCACGGAGGCGGAGGATATATCTTGTGAGAGACATGTCTCGGGTATTGTGTTCGGTTGTTGAGTAGTACAGGTCGCTCGCGAGTCGGTGCTCACGAGGGTTGCTAGCTGCAGGTTCTCGGGTGTGCGAGGCTGTGTGATGCGATGCGATCGGTGAATTGTGTTGCGCACTACCAGGTGCTATTTTCGGTGACGGTAGGTCTTGAAGCAGGAGCAATGGCGCGACGTCGTTGTCAATGGACCTATATCCCACGCGCGCTTAACGAAGCGGCAGATGTTGACAGTGTGGGGCGAGGTTGGGTCGTGGTCACCGTGAATACATCACAATGTGTCGTGAAGGAGCCGGTGTGTAGGCACAAAGGTTGAGAGAACCGACAGTGCGCTGCACGTCGAGGTGGTGAATGGGGTGGTGTTGAAGACGAGACGCGGTCCAGTCCGGTGGAATTAGTCGACAGAAGCGTGAGGCGGCGATTGCGATGTGCAGTATCGATAGCGATAGTAGCGACGGTGAAGGCGAATAGGGCCGAGGAAATTGAAAGCGACGTCAATAGACTTTGTCTTCACTAGGGGCTGAAGACGGGAAATAGGGGACTAGAAACCGGCTCGAAGACAGCGTGAGAAGCGAATGTAGGCGGGTGTTCAATGTTGCCGTAGCGAGTGAGCAACAGTTGGACGAGAAACGAAGGTATGGAAACGACACGACAAGGGACGGCGAGCGTGAGGTCAGAGGGGGAGCGAGGGAAACAGTGGATATGAAGTTCGCAACATGGGAGGGTTGGTGAGGGCGTGGCAGGGGTTGGGAATCGGAACAGGCGGATGATTGGCTCCGCTGCGCCCGGACAGTCTAGGCGCTGAAACGACACGAAGGAAGCCGGCCACTCACATTGGCGTGCCTGGATGCGCCATGAAACCAAGCCTCAGCTCACCGTCTGTCCACCGCCAACGGGAATGGCCGAGTGCCTGACGGTGGGACCTGAATCCAGAACGATGCCGAGTCCCGTGCTGTGCGACTGTCGACGGGATGGTCGATAGTCTACGCCTGATAGCTGATCAGCTGACCTGTCCATTCGCCCCAGACACCACCAGACACGCATTCGTCCTATCGTCCACTCTCCAAAACCTTCATCCCATCTCTTCACCACCATCCCATGTCCGCCACACCCGCTCCCATAAATCACAATCAGCCGTCCAATCTATTTCTGCCAATACGGGAGCCAAAGCAAGGTCCCTCCCAAGACTTGTGCGGCTCCAGAACTCCGGCGCCTAAAGTAGCCGCCCCAAAACAGAACAACAAGCGAGTCAACCTCATCAACAACCTGGGGAAAATCATACCCATCGGTATTGGTAAAACGGCTTTTGCACGCCTCTCATGCATCTTGACATTTCGGTCAGGCCGCCGAGGCAAAATTGTTCCTTGGTGCCGCCACGCGCTGTCCTGATGAAATCTCCACTGTGCTATTGCGCGAGCGCGAACCGGAGGAGGATGAAGAACCCTGCGCGCGAGTCGGTGTCGGAGCAGCAGTGTGATGAGGCCCTGAGTTTGAGACGCGAGCGTTCTTCCGTCTTGTCATGTTGGTTCGGTTGTCGGGTGAGTCTCATAAGCAGCTGTCATGTGAAGTTCATGCGATGGCAACAATCCATGCGCTCATCGAGACTGCGCCACAACAAAGAAAACACGTGCAATGCCGCGGCTGCCTTTACTCGACCGACCACACGGTCCGCCGTCACTTCCTCCTAATTATTGACAATGCTAACCCTATCACCGCATCATCTCATTGAATTCCACAGCACTCACCTCATCTGCGCGACAGCAATCCTGCCATGAATCACTAAGCCCGCAGGCTGTTATCGGAAATGACTTGCGACAGTTCTCACCCCGAGCGACTCGCGCCTTCCCGTGCCTGATGCGATTCAGACTGACACCAGGGTCCCTTCCGTCTTGCGATAAGATTGAAACACCAAGACACCAAGACATCGGTTACCCGGGTCTCGGGAACACGCCCCTCGACAGCGAACTCAAGTTTGCCCAGTCGTGCTAGGCAATAAAACCAAAGATTGGCCTAATGATCGCCACAAGAACCCTACATGATCTTACACTGCGGTCGTACCATTCTCAGAACACTGCTTCTACTACGATAATCTGCCATTTGGTACCTCCGACTTGGTGTTGCTTGCATGAGCCCCGTCGTGTTGTTGCCCCTCCGTTCTGTCGTGTTTCAAACATGCGATAGCTTCGGGACAAACGCCTCCTTCCGTCATCGCTCACGGTACCTCGCGATAACGTCGAAACAGACCTCTTTGCGCCCGTCTGTCGTGAGCAATGCGCTGCCCCGCCGGCTGTCAAACAATAGCGCCTGTCAAACGGCGTAACGCCCACATGTCCGATCCTTCGGTTGCGCATGAACCCCGTACTATACCCACAACACACGAGAGGAAAATGCTGTCGCAGCTTGGTGAAGTCCGGAAAAATTCTTCATACACTCAGGACCACCATTTTCCGTTGTTTCAAGTCACTCAAAGCGCCGAAGTATCTAGTTGCGTCAGTGACTGGCGCCTCAGACGTGCTGCATACTGCATCTACACCTCGCATTCGCTTTCCAGTGCTGAGTGCCCAAAATTCGGTCCTACGCCGTCATGGCACCAGCTACCAAGAAAGCCAAAATCCAAAAGCAAATTGTAGACTACAGAGCCTAGATCTAACCACCTGGCAGCCGATCACAAAGTCAGATTGAAGATTGTCCCTCGAACCGCTGCACGGTCTTGTCTCATCTCATCTCATCGCATACCCAAGACACCCGCAAGCGTGCGCTATACGGCCCTTTACTACACATGCTACACAAACCACAACAAACACACGATCGCATAGACAAGTAGGTATACCTCAAACCTCACTCCTCATCCGATCACGATGCTCGTTGCCACGTTTACTTTTTCCAAACCACCGTTCTCGCAAGCGTACCGAACTATCGTATTCCACAACACTCACCCCACTCCCAATCCACCACGTGCATGAACACCGATCAATAAAATCTGAAAACTCGGAAAGCCGGAAACACTTCGATCGATGGAACCCGGGTCTTCGCGCAACCCGACGATTGAACCAAACCCATTATTCAGATTCCACACATCCCACTCCGTGCGGCTGGGTACAGTAGTAGTACATTGTAGAGATTTCCATACAAAAAAGGTCCGATAACACCTACCACATTTCGATGCTTCCAGAACGCATGAACATACCAACCCCGCTTCATCTTTTCATTGAACCCACCTAATCCAACTCAATATTCACGCTGGCAGTCAGCGCCATGTCATGTCATGTCCCCATCACCGCGAACCTGTTTCCCGCCCAGTCCTGCTTCCTCCCATGTCGGAAAAGCTTGACATGTGCCTGAAACACCGCTAGCGAAATGACAGCAAATGTGTTCCTTCGTGGGCGTCAGGGACGCCACAGGCCGCAGAAGCAGGTTGGCGTGCGCTCAATGTGAAACACGAAGGTCCTGCAGGACCAAGACTTTTTTGCAAGACGGCCTCGGTGGGGTTGTCGGTGAGTGTGATGTGTTGGTGTAGGAATGGACTGGGCTGGAGCTGGCTATGCTGGAGAATAACCGTCTTGACTTTGGGGCGTGGGAGATGATGAGATGGGAGACGGGATGGGAGCAGGATGGGGATGGTACGGTGTAGGTGGATGGGTACTTGAAGGATCCCCAATGTCGACTTCGACTTCGACTGCTACTCATTCCTCATATCGCGCCATCTTCAATACACTGTAACGCGACTGACGCTTCGTATGCTCATCCACTTCATCAAACACCGCACAAAACCAACATAACACTAACACAACACCTCACAAACGCTCATCCATTGTTACTACCCACTACTGCGCATGACCTCCCCCAGCAGTCCCCGGCCCCCCAGCGAAATTCATCTGAGCAAGAACATCCCTCCTCCAACTATCATCTTCGCTCTCACTAGCCGTAGAATCGCGGTTCGCAACGCGCAAGCCACCGCCTCCACCGCCGTTCCCACCCGCTCTGCTATCATACGAGCCGTGACTGACGTATCGCGTGACTTCTTCGCCGCCGCCTGCGCCATACCCGGCGTTGTAGCCTTGGCTGTGCTGTGAGTCCATTGTCCATGTCTGTTGTTGTTGTTGGTTGTGCTGTTGTTGCATATTGGGATCTTGCGACGTGTTATCGTAAGAAGAGTAGGGTGTGCTATCGCTGTAGAAATCTCTGTTGTTCCACGTTCCGGGGTTGTTTGCGTCGTCGGAGGGACCTGGGCGGAGTACGTCGGGGACTTGGCCGCTTAGGCCGCTACCACTAGACTCGTATTGCTGTTGTTGTGGATGGTATGCGTTTTGGTAGTTGCCAGGCTGGTGCTGGTGTGCGTTTTCGTGGAAAGGTCCCGCTCGGTCAAGGGGTGAATAGTCCATTGCGCCACCGTCGTGGAGTTGTAGGTTGGGGAGGAAGGACATGCGGTTGTCTGTTGGTGTGCGGTCGCTGGGGTCGTGCAGTTCGACACCCTGGTACTGGCCGCCTTGTGGGTTTTCCGGTATGCTTTGTGTGTAGACGGAAGATTGTTGGCCTGGTTGTGGGGTCATGCCAGGGCTTGTTGACAGCTGTTGCTGTTGTTGTGATAGCGAGAGGCTGTTCATCGTTGCTGTCATGCCGAGCAAGCTGGGTGCCCGAGTGGAACTTGCTTTCATACTTGCTGGTCCCATGCGGCCCATACCCAACATGCTTCCGCTCATGCTGGCGCGGCCTGCACCAGGCTCTTCGCTGATCATTTGAGCATCCGAGCCGTTTGGATCGCGGATACTGTATTGCGCGATTGTGCGCATCTTCCTCGTCACCCAACCGGCTAGGATCTTGCCTCTTTGCTTCTCTCCAAGCCTGGATCGGTGGAAATCGCCTTTTTGTACGAAAGACACGATATCGATGACGAGTTGATGTTCGTTCAGGATGGCGTTCACGATGACAGGCACCATGCTGGCGAGGAAGTTGCGACGGAAGATCTCCACGACGATGACCACGAGGC